CACAGATTAAACATTTTGGACAATGTTTTTGATAGGTGGTGCTGTGTGCTTCATATCGCCTCACTTCAGAAAGCACCTACTGTCTAGGTGTCCCACTGTTAGTGATGCTGAGACTGATCAGGCTCATGTGGTGGTTGCCTCAATCAAAAGAGCTTTTTAAATTTTTTTTAAGATAAAAGAAATAATAGCATGTCTAAATACTGATGAGCATGATCTTTGAGAGAGGGAGACTTACTGATATGGAAGAAAAAGGGGAGATTTTCTAGAAGAATGTCCCTACATACACAAGAGTGTAGGATCAAATGGACTGATGTTGGATATTACAAGCGTGGGACACAGCCAATTCATCCATAGTAACAAGATTTACATAATTTGGGTGTAAATGCAGGTAAGGTGGGTAGTTGTAGAACACAAGCATGCTTGCAGAAGTTCTGTTCTGGTAACTTCCTTTTCTCCATGAATAAGTAGCAAGTTCATCAGGAGAGGGTGAGAATGAGGGGAGTTTTTCATGGAGAAAGTCCTCTAGGAGAATGGCAGGTTAATTGACCAGAAAAGTAGCATATGATTGCTGGGAAGCATTAAGGGGCTACTTGCAGTTAATGATTAATTAGCATCATTGTATGATTTTTCTCTAGCCATGTTCAGCTGCATGCTCGCAGGTGTGGACTAGGACAGTTAGATTTAACCAGGACTGGGGTTTTTCCAACCATGTGTGATGAGAGAGGTCAAATTAATGATTGACTGTGGAATTTAAGGTGGGTAGGAAGGGAAGTGAGGATATGAAGAGGTGAGAGACAGTAGGAAGGCAGTAGGATCAACACAGAAAATTTTTGGAGCTGGGCACTAATTGGACTAAGTTGCAAAGACAAGAGTGGTAATTAGAAGGGGGATGCATAAAATTCAGGCTATGCAGGGGTATGGTTTGGAAATGACAAGATCAGCGACACTACTTTTGGAGCGAGGGACTGAGGTCACAATCATTGAATTGGAGATCAAAGAACTGAGAGACCAGGGGACTAGGATGATTCTCTAGGAGAATATTACAAGGGTGGGACAACAACTAAGAGTTGTGACAGAGAGAGTGCTGGAGAGCATTATAGTGAGCCAGGAGCTGACATGTTTGAGGAATGAAGAAAGGTGTCCTGGGTGGAGGAGAAGATGAAGATGAGTGTGAACAGGCAGATAGCAGGAAGTATGGCCTGCACAGGGTTGATGAAGGATGAAAGAAGTTGTGCGTATGTGAAGTTCTCAGCCTGAGCATAGACTCACGTGTCAGTGGTTTTCATTCTGAGTCTATGCAGCTCCAGAGAGCAGAGCTTAAATTACTGTTGTCTTTTTTTTGTTTGTTTAATCTTTTTTACCGGGAAGTTGATTTCTTTTCACTGTAAGAGCTTTTTCTAAGAGGCAGAGCTGCTCACACAGTATGTGTGACCCGGGGGAGGTAGGAATTCCCTGACACTCGGTGTGTCCAACAGACAAACTGGACTTGCTGTAAGGGGAATTCTAGCAGTTTAAGATTATGAGTGGGTGGGGATAATATTAACAATTGAAGGACATGGGGAGTGAGGAAGGGTGGTATTAGCACTAGCTTCATATATTCATTCAAACGTGTGTAAGCCCTTCCCAATTAATGGCCTAGCAGCTGGCTAGAAGCGGGGGCCAAAGATAAATCTTAATGGAACTCTCAGTATGGTTGGGACAGACCAGCAATGGGCAAATGTCACATGGTCTTACGAGAGCCAGAACAGGTATGGTGAAGTCATGTCAATTTCTGTGGGGTCAAGAAAGCCTTCAGAGTCCCAGGACATTTGGGCCTATATGGGAGGCTGAGTGGGTGAACAGGGTAGGAAAGGACATTTCCCTCAGAAGGAACTTTATATGCAGGACTACAAAGGCATGAAAGAGCATGGGGCATTTGGAATGCCACAGCTCAGTTACTCTGGGCAAATTACTCAACTTCCCTGTCTCAGGTCATCATTTGTAAAATGTGGATAGTAATGGTGTCCACAGAGTTAAGGATGGTGAGGAGTAAGTGAAATGATGAAATTGTCTCAGGCCCCATTGCAATCCTTTTGGGTGTATTATTTATTTGCTTATTTAAATAGTTCTATGAGATAGGATCTCATTATTATTCCCATTTTACAGAAAGAAGCTGAGTTTTAGGTGGTTGGGTTACTTGTCCAAAGTCACATAACTGGTGAGAGACAGTTTAGATTCTTCAGATCAGTCTAATTCTAATGTTAATATATAGGACTGCTAAAGCTTTTCAACCAGGGAGTTGAGGACTCTGTTATTGTTTCTGCAGCTGGCTGCTATCTCATGAGCAGCCGTGACGTATTTTTGGAAGGCCCTCATTATCTATAGTAGATCTAGATCAACTGTTGCACTACTTTTGTTTCAATTAGCCGACTTGGAAATCAAGAGCAGGGAGTGATTTTATCTCCTTAGAGGGCAAGTTGTTCCAAGCAGATGTAGTTGATGAAAGGGAGGAAGATCTGGGTTAGCTGCATGCCTGTGATATCTATACACTCAACCCAAACAAGTCTCAGGTCCCAGGAGCTTATGCACTGGGGTGATGGCAGTGCACCAGCATTCATAGGCAAGAGGTGTCATCCAAGGGGTAGGTCACTGCCCACAGAGTTCCCTGTGAGGGTGCTGAGAAAGAATCTTTTCCATCAGTGATGTCTGAGGTAAGCACTGACTTCTTAAGAGCTGGCAACCCTCCCCCCATTCATTTGTTTGCTCACTTACTCATTCATTCATTTGACAAACTGTTTCTGAGTGCTTACTATTTGCTGGATACTCATCGAGGCACTGAAGATAGTAGTGAAGAAGGCTGACAAGGTTCCCCACTTACGGAGTTTACATTCTTAGGGGGAGGACACAGACAGCAATCAAATAATAATATGACTGCATGCGTAACTACTAAATCTATGCCACGGAGAAACTTACATGACATGAGAAGAGGGAGAGCAATCAGAGACATGTTAGGGCTCTACTAGGAGGCTGCTCAGGAGCCAGTTCTCTGAATTGAAAATAGAGAGCCCTGAGTTTTTTGACAAAGAACAGAAAGGCACATCTCACTGTTGCCCTGTCAGTCATGGTCAGGCCCTGCCTGCCTCCTGGTCATGGTCACGAAAAACTGGAATTCTCTCAATCAACTCCATGCCTTTAGGGGAAGATTTCCTTGTAGTTGGTGGGAGGAAGCCAGTTAATGGCCACTGTGGCTTCCTCTTAGTTCCAAAATGCTACACCTCTAGGACAGGCTTTGGGCCAGCTCAATATTGTGTATCAAGTTGATAAATAAGACTGAAGTGTATTTTCAATACTGTCCCCAACAGTTTTGCCTTAATTACTCAACGTTAAGAAAAATAAAGGACGTCAAACTGAAAGATGAGAATTCGTCTCTCATCTTATACCAGTTTGTTCATCAGATGTTTTCAGGTCTCAACCATATACATTTTTTCTAGATATTTGGACATTTGTAACTTTAAGTCACAATGTAGGCATAGATAACATTCTCTGTTTCACTGTTTTTGTTATAATACTGTAAGCATTTTCTTTTCTATTGCTACATAAATTCACACAATTATATATATTTTTTATCAAGTGGATATATTATTTTATATATACAGTTTAACTCTTTCCCTATTACTGGAAGCTTAGTTGTTAGCCTTAGATTTTCATAATTTTGAAATTGAAACCTACTTTTATCTTGCATGTACGTACTGCTTTAAAGAACTCATGCTTTAGCCCATTAGTCCTCTTTCAATCCTCACCACAACTGTGGAAGGGGAGTCATTTACATGTGAGGAAACCAAAATATATCATCCTTTTTTCCTTTGAATTATTTGCTCAGTCATATTTCCTGAACATATGATAACTTGGTTAATGGTCATGAGCTTTAATTCTGTGACCTGATTACTTTCTGAAAAAGGTTGAGTTGATTTCTGCAGCTCCCTTGAAATATACCAAGCCCATCACAGTCTGTCCAATGGTGATCATTTTGAAAGGTGCTAAAAATTCTATCAATTATCAACTTAATATTTCAATTGTCCTTTTTGGGTTTCTCAAGATGGATCATACTTTCATCTGCTTGTTAATTGTACTTTCTATTTTGTGACTTGTTCATTTGTGTGCATTGCCTGTTTATTTTGGGAGGTTTTACCGATGTTTACCCATTGCATCCCTTGACTCGTTTTCCTTTTATTACAGTATTTTTCATTGTGTAGAAGTTGAAATTTTCATGCAACTGACTTGATTGTTTTCCCTTTTTTTCTACATTCAATCAGAAAGAGCTGACAAATACAGAATTCTATTTTTAATCTTTTAAAAATTCAATTATTTTTTTCCAACTCTTAAGAGTAACGCTTGTACATTTTAGAGATTTGAGAATATACAAAAAATTATAAAAACTGAAAACACTTATTATTCTACTATCCAGGGCATATACATTTTAGTCCTTTCTCTTTTGCATCTGTGTGTATTTTAAAGTATATTTTTTGTGGATTTGAATAGTATATTATATACGGTTTTAAAACTTTTTTCCAGTTAACATTATCCTGATTGAACTTTCACATATCAATAAATATTCTTTGATAATAAATTATTTTTAAAAATCTGTCTAGAGGTTATTTTGGGATGAACTGAATCTTTTCACCCCAAATTACTATTTGTGTATCCCTAAACCAATCACTAAACAATTCTTCCTTCCCAGATTGGTCTGTGGTGCCTGCTTTATCTTTCTAGCATGGTTTTATCTAGTATCAGTCAATTTCTAGGCTCTGTGTTGTTCACAGGCCCAGAGGCCTGCACCTGTAATAGGGTCTTGTCTCTTTCTGATCCCTCCAGGTTTCCTGGATTGAGCCATGGCCTAAGCCAGGGCCATTGCTGGAGACTAGCAGAAGAGCCTATCCATTCTGTTAATCTTTAATCCTGCCCCTGCCCCCTGCTGGAAAACAGCTCTCACCTCCTCTTTTTTTTTTTTTTTTTCTTTGCAGATGTTTTTTGATTATCCCGAGAAAAATGAGCCTTGGCCACCAGACCTAATTGAGCAAACATCTCTCCCATGGAGAGTAGTGCTGGTTCCTGAGAGCCTGGCGGGCCTGCAGCCCCAGGAGAACTAGCCCAAAGCAGGTAAGGAACACCTGGAGGTATGGGTATGGAGGTGAAGAAAGGGTACTTTCCCAGATAAAAAATGATGAGGTGGAGTATGCTGGTGAAGAGGCACAGGGTCTCAGTGTCTGGCTACAACTTTACTGTTTTCTTCTTTTTTTTTTTTTCAGTTCTGATTCAGTGAGGGGTGGGAGTAGGTTGTTTGTGTATTCTGTTAACTGTAAACATAAGATCTGAAGTTATTCTATAATTCAGTCCATCTTTTTGTAGCACCTATTACGTGCCAAGCCCTGCATTTGCTACCGGGCAAGTAGGAGACCAGGTATGCAGCCCTCCTTTGGCTGGGATTTTCTTTCTATTGGTCCAATGTTGGCTTGCTGCCTGTAGGTGATCATGTGAGTTGTTGCTGTATTCTTCTAGAAGCCTGATGGGGGTCTTAAGGATTCACTGGTATAGTCCCATCAATTTACTCTGTTCTAGGCTCTGTGCTGGACACAGGGGTTTCAGAAATGAGCCAGGAGGTGTTCCCCTCTAGAAGAGAGTCAGCATGAAAGCAAGCATTACTAAACACTGGATGCAAGTATTGGTGAGCAAAAATAGTACTCAAAAGGAGGCGAGCTCCACAAGAGGTCTGAAGCAAGAAGGGAATGCTGTCTAGTTGCAGGGTAATGGACTGTGCAGCCATGAAAAGGTCTGGAGGCTTAAAAAGTTAGTCTGGGGGGTGTGATTGGAAAATTCAAAGCTTGGTGTGTTTTTCCAAAGAATCTGGGGAGAAAAATGTACTACTCCTTTCCTTCAGTTTGGGCTACTTAGATGAAACTTCCTCAGTCTCTGTCTTTTTAGAAAAGTTTGGGAGATGAAAAAGGGTCTGGGAGCTCTAAGTGCCTAGGCCCAGAAGCTCCAGCCAGCTGTTGGGCTTGGAGCTCCAACATAGGGGAATGAGAGACCTCGGCTGAGAGGCTTCAGGTAAGTGCCTTGGGGCCATGACAGAAACAGTCCGAAGGCTGAGGACGTCTTAAACTTGCAGGACTGTTGTGCCTGGTTGTTTGGGGGAAGCCTTCTTTCCTGGGGGAGACGGCCTTGGAGAAGGAAGTTTAGGCATGAAGCTGGACACCAGCTGCTTCTGAGCCTCGGCTCCCTAGACAGGGAATCAGGTCCCGCCTCCCCACCTCTCGTCTTATTTCTCTCATACTGATAGAAGATAAGTCCCGACTCCACCATTTCCAAATCACTCATGCAACCTTGTAAATTATGTACACTTATAAAACCTTAGTTTCTTAAGATATAAATGGAGCTGGTAAAGTTTGCTCTGTTTATCATACAGGTTATACTGGGTCTCATAAACCTAGTAACTGTGAAAGGGCTGCCTGAGGGCTAAAACAGTGCCTGGTAATGGCCAGTGCTGATGTGAGGGTGGTTTTTCTGTGATTGTCTGGCAGATTGAGTTGTCTCTCTTGGTACACTGGTTTCTAAGTTCTGTTTGGTCAACACTGACTTTTCACTGCCCTTGATTACAACTGTTTGTCCTTTAGTGCAAAGACCATGAATTTTTAGAATTAGACAGACCAGGGTTGGAATCCTGGTGCAAGTACTGATTAGCTATTGCCTTCAGCTAATGTAACCTTTGTATACCTCAGTTTCTTCATTTTTCTCAAGTGGAGCTGTTAATACCTACCCCATAGAGTATAGTAAGATTAAATGAGATATTGCAAGTTAAGTGCCTACCATATAGCGGGCACTTCTTAAGTGCTACTTTCCCTTCTCTCATTCTTCTTTAGCAGTCATAGAGTCATGAGATTACCTGTGTTGGGTGTCTGAGGAAATTGAATGCCTTGGTTTTCTGATTGTGCAACAACACCCCTCCCCCATTTTATGATCACATGTTTGACTTCTTCCAGCTATGTGTACATTTCATCACTTCTTAAACATCCAAGCCCAAAGCAGGAACCTGTCCTCTTGAGCCACTGGTTCCTGAGGTCTGGGTGAAGTGCTGCTTGGTCACCACTGCCAGTGGATTTCAAGAATGGTCTGAATGTAACTTAAATCAGAGTCTTAGGTGAAGGGCCTGAAGCTCGGGTTGATGAGTCATGGCCAGTGTCGTGGTCTGCCGCCTTTCACATCCCATGTTGTTGTGACACGTGACCCGCAAGCTGATGGCCTGCTCTCTGCTCTCTGTTCAGAACACCTTCTGTGTCTTTACACTGACCAGGTTCAAAGCCTATGGATGCCATCTTCATTGGTTCTCCTGGCACATCATGAGTAAGAGAGGGGAGAGATGATTACTCTACACCTAGGTATAGGGAGGTTAAGTGACTTGCCCAAGGTCACCAAGAATGGGGAGAGAGCCCAGGCTTTGTGCATACACAGTTCAGCGTGCCTTCCACCTTATCCCTGATAACCTTAGCAGTGGGCTGCACAGGAAAGGAATGTAGATCCCTAGTGGGTTAGCAAAACCCCAGGGACTATTGCTTAGACTCATTACAGTAAATGAACTCAGTTATTTTGGAAAGAATTTAATGTTTTCCAAAAGATACAGACATTGTTTGAGTTCAAAGTGCTTCCATTTTCCATTCAGTTACACAATAAATTCTGGGAAAACAAAGTAGGTCTTTACCCAGATATACAGGGAAGTAATCAGCTGTTTATTCAGTGTCCATTTTCCAGAACTTCCACAGTTCTGTGCCTAATGAAACAGACATAGATTATGGAATCAAGTGAACTTGGATTTGAATCTCAGTGCTTCCATTTACTCAGCTCTGTGGTCCTGGCACTTCTGCCAACCTCTCAGAGTCTTGAGTTGCTAATCTACAGATAATGGAGATATAACATCTCCATCGCTAGTGATAGTCAGGGCCTCTCTGCACAGCTCAGGAGATTACCTTCATATTAGACTATTTTATACATGGTACTCACTGGAATTGTGCATCACAGTGGCCTTGGTTTATCATGAAATTAAATGAAACAATATCTTGTGTGCTTAATGCATCTTTGTTTTGTTTCCTTAACTGGACTCATGTCTGCTCCGTTACCCATATTTTCTATCCTTTACCATGAGGTGAGTCAGCTTCCTGCCGCCTGACAGTACTCAGGCAGGGAGCTCCACTAAACTGAGTGTTGGCAGTCTTCTCACACAGGAGGCCCACACCATGGCCCATGGAGAGTGTCACAAATCTATGGCAGTGCCTATGGAGAGAGGTCTCTTTCTGGCAATTTAAAAAGGATACTGGGCCCCTGAGGATTTTGGGAGGGAGTTGGGGCTCTTGAACAGATAGTGGAAGTTCACAGGTAATTAACAGACGGTGGGAGGCCCTAGGGACCGAATGATGCATCAGATGTGGCTCCTGACTTCAAGAAGCTCTGAGTGCAGTCAGGGAGCCGGATCCAGACAAGACAAAGCTAAGAGTCAGGTGTAAAAAGGAACTGTGGAAGAATTCATACAGCGTTTGTGGCTCAGAGAGAAATGAGGGCATGTCTGAGGACTGTTCTTTACATGCAAATCCCAGACTCTCTACATTCAAAACCCAGAGTGAATATTTTTCTTCAAATTTTTGCTGAAGGTTGCAGACCTGGTGGAAGGCAGATGGGGACTGGAATTTCAGGCTTGTTACTCCCAGTCTATTGCTCGGCCCATCACCCCACCACTCACTAGTCACTACTTTTTTATTTTCTTTACATCATTTTTTGTCTTATGTCACTTTTTTTTCAGGCTTGTTTTCCTGCTCAGAACAGAGTGGTTTCCTTGAATGCATCTTTCATTATGATTCACATCAACCTGAAGAAAAAATTCAGCTGCTGTGTGCTGGCCTTTCTCCTGTTTGCTGTCATCTGTGTGTGGAAGGAGAAAAAGAAAGGAAGCTACTATGATTCCCTTAAATTGCAGACCAAGGAATTCCAGGTACTGAGGGGCCTGGAGAAGCTGGCCATGGGGTCTGGTTCCCAGTCTGCATCTTCAAGCAGCACCCAGGCCCCTCACAGAGGCACCCAGGCCTTCAGCAGTCCCAGAGGCCCAGCCAAGGCCAAACCAGAGGCCTCTTTCCAGGTATGGAACAAGGACAGCTCTTCCAAAAACCTTATCCCCCGGCTGCAGAAGATCTGGAAGAATTATCTGAACATGAACAAGTACAAAGTGTCCTACAAGGGGCCGGGGCCAGGTGTCAGGTTCAGCGCAGAGGACCTGTACTGCCACCTCCGGGACCACGTGAACGTATCCATGGTAGAGGCCACAGATTTTCCCTTCAACACCTCTGAATGGGAGGGTTACCTGCCCAAGGAGAACATTAGGACCAAGGCTGGGCCATGGGGCAGGTGTGCTGTCGTCTCATCAGCAGGAGCTCTGAAGTCCTCCCAGCTGGGCCGAGAAATAGGTGGGTTCTGGGTTTTAGGATCGTTAAACAGCCAGTGTTCTGGAGTAGCTGGGCATGTAGATGAGACTGGTGATGGAGACCTGCATTTGGCTCTGTGGACTAGCAGAGTACCCTAGGTCAGTGTTTTTTCCCTTTTCAGCGGGTCAGAGATGCCATGGGGACAGCTGAAAGGATGGGGCACAGGCCCCCAGCATCTTTGTCAATTAGAATAGATTTATTTTTATGTTTTAAATATTAGGATTCTAAAGAAGATTTTACTTGATAAGAGAATGTGGAAGAATTCATACAGCGTTTGTGGCTCAGAGAGAAATGAGGGCATGTCTGAGGACTGTTCTTTACATGCAAATCCCAGACTCTCTACATTCAAAACCCAGAGTGAATATTTTTCTTCAAATTTTTGCTGAAGGTTGCAGACCTGGTGGAAGGCAGATGGGGACTGGAATTTCAGGCTTGTTACTCCCAGTCTATTGCTCGGCCCATCACCCCACCACTCACTAGTCACTACTTTTTTATTTTCTTTACATCATTTTTTGTCTTATGTCACTTTTTTTTCAGGCTTGTTTTCCTGCTCAGAACAGAGTGGTTTCCTTGAATGCATCTTTCATTATGATTCACATCAACCTGAAGAAAAAATTCAGCTGCTGTGTGCTGGCCTTTCTCCTGTTTGCTGTCATCTGTGTGTGGAAGGAGAAAAAGAAAGGAAGCTACTATGATTCCCTTAAATTGCAGACCAAGGAATTCCAGGTACTGAGGGGCCTGGAGAAGCTGGCCATGGGGTCTGGTTCCCAGTCTGCATCTTCAAGCAGCACCCAGGCCCCTCACAGAGGCACCCAGGCCTTCAGCAGTCCCAGAGGCCCAGCCAAGGCCAAACCAGAGGCCTCTTTCCAGGTATGGAACAAGGACAGCTCTTCCAAAAACCTTATCCCCCGGCTGCAGAAGATCTGGAAGAATTATCTGAACATGAACAAGTACAAAGTGTCCTACAAGGGGCCGGGGCCAGGTGTCAGGTTCAGCGCAGAGGACCTGTACTGCCACCTCCGGGACCACGTGAACGTATCCATGGTAGAGGCCACAGATTTTCCCTTCAACACCTCTGAATGGGAGGGTTACCTGCCCAAGGAGAACATTAGGACCAAGGCTGGGCCATGGGGCAGGTGTGCTGTCGTCTCATCAGCAGGAGCTCTGAAGTCCTCCCAGCTGGGCCGAGAAATAGGTGGGTTCTGGGTTTTAGGATCGTTAAACAGCCAGTGTTCTGGAGTAGCTGGGCATGTAGATGAGACTGGTGATGGAGACCTGCATTTGGTTCTGTGGACTAGCAGAGTACCCTAGGTCAGTGTTTTTTCCCTTTTCAGCGGGTCAGAGATGCCATGGGGACAGCTGAAAGGATGGGGCACAGGCCCCCAGCATCTTTGTCAATTAGAATAGATTTATTTTTATGTTTTAAATATTAGGATTCTAAAGAAGATTTTACTTGATAAGAGAGTTCTGCTATCAATAAGTAAAACACTATAAAACACGATAATCAACACTTAAAAATAATTAAAGCACATAGATCTCTGTCTTCAGTCTTGAAATTACATACTTTTGCTGATTAATTGAGGACTGATGATCTCTTTTGGCCTCAACTACCTAGGTATTTTTCAGCTTTTTTGTTTGAAAAAGAATTAATTAGAGCAGGAATTTTTAACTTGGGGGCTGTGGACCAACTCCAGGGGTCATGAATCCCTAAAATGACACACAAAAATATCTGTGGACTATGGGTGTATAATGTATGTGTGTTGTGTGAAGTTGGTATGTGCATTTTTTCAGAGAGAAAGCCCATCACTTTCAGGTGATCCTCAGAGGGGTCTGTGGCCCCCAAAATGTTAAAAGTCACTGGTCATAATATATCAATTTGTTTTTCTTGAAATCCTTTGCAAGTAATAAAGATAGAAAGTTTATCCAAATTTGTAAACATACACAACACAGAGGGAGGGGTCTGCTTAAGGCTCCTTGGTTCTCTTATTTTGAAAGAATGTGTTTTCCATTATTGTGAAATGAATCAGGCTAAAGAAAGCAAAGCCAGGAAGCCCTGCTCCTCTGTCAGGCTCTGGAGCAGGTGAGGTCATATGTCTCCCTTTTTATTTCCTTCGTATGACTGCCAGGAAAAATGGTCTGAAACCAAGTACAGGCTCACAAAAGAAGAAAAGTAGACTCAAGTTGGTTTCTCTGGAGCAGAAAGAAGTGGTGAGATCACATGTGGTACCTACCAAGTAGGCAGCACTTTCTAATAAAAGCTGCCAAGGTAACCAGCCCCACTCCAACTTTTTTGCTTTTGCTTTTTTGGTTTCTTTTGGATCTTTGTTTTCTCAAAACTAAATGTGATTGGTTTTTATGCATCCAGCAGGGAGCTAAATTTCTTTCTTTCTTTCCCATTTTTGCTCTATAGCTGTAATGTGTAGAATATCCCAGGTGTCCGCCACTCCTCTTCTCACGGGTTTCTTTGTCTGCCTGGCTGGGATAGTGTTGAAGTTTAAGGCAGAAACTGATACTTTGATGAATTGGAACTATAATCTTTATTTTTATGTACTCCATAAAAGTTTGGAGTGATTTAAATAAACATTAACTAAAATAATCTTTTTCTATAGACTGCAGTTATAGTTTGAAATATGTATTTCCATGGGAGGACTTTGATCATGAGCTACAACAAAAATTGCATGTTAGACTTCAAAGGTTCTGCCTTTTATAGGGTATTTCCTCTGGGAATTTAGTCTAACATTATAAGGAATTCAATCACTTATTCTTTTATTCTCATCAACTCATCAGCAATACAAAACAGGAACTTAGAACCCCAAGAGGAAAGGGAAGGGAAAGGCCCTTTGTTAAGGCCTCTGGGTACAGGCAGCATGCCAAGCCCACAGCCTTCCCACTACACCCGGAATTTGTCTGGTCTGTTCCCGACTATTGAACATACCGGATGGTTTCAAATTGTTTGCTCTGACAAACAGTACTGTTAACAAAGTTTTTGTGCACATAATTTAAGTGACTCTACTTCTGCCCTTCAAAGGGGGAAATATCCTCAACAGTGGGGCTAGAAGACCACACTAAGATACATTTTTTTGTCTGTTGCAGAGTTGTTTACCAGGGGGATTTGTAGTAACATATTGTATCTCCAGCCAATCCAGTCCCAGGGACTCAGTCATTTTCAATGATTTTTGATACATGTATATGTAATGTGTAGATTTCCTTGAATTTTCACTTTAAACAATAGTATATATTTTAAATTTTAACCAGTTGGAGTGATGTTCATTGTGCACCTGCTGTATGCCTCACATGATTGTTCTTTTAGTCCTTTTAGTAATCCTGTGAGGTGCATATGATTATTATTCCCATTTTATTGATGAGCTAAGTGTTAAGGCTCCAAGAATTTTCAAAACTGGGTAATAGCAGCCTGGGACTTGAAACCAATCTGTTTGACTCAAAAGCTCCCATATTTAGCCCCTCTGCTTTTGCTGTAGCTTTATAATAAAATTTGGTATGATGAATCCCTTGTCAGATTAATTTAAAAAAACCTTGATATTTTTGCTTACTTGTTCTCCTAGAGGAAAGAAGAGCATTCATTCTTAGTTAAGGCAAAAGCATGAAGCAAAGGCTTCTTTGGGAAAAAGTGCAGTGTGTGTTTGGGCATCACAAATAACCCTGTTTGTCTGGGATGTGGGGCCCCATGGGTAAAGAGGGCTGAGGAAAGAGGCCAGAAAGGTAGCCAGGGGTCAGCTCTTAGAGAATGCTGATGGTCACAGTAAAAACTCTGGGTTTCATTCTCTGAGCCACAGAGAACCATAGAAGGTTTCTGAGCAAGCAAGTGATAGGATCGTATACATTTTGGAGAGAGTTCTCATTTTACTGAGTCCTCTTTTCTTTGGGGACTGCTGTGTAATCTCCCTATTATTAGGGACTAGTGCACCATGCACCTGAGAAGTGCTGGGCCTGGTAGTGGTGTGGAAGGAAAAGGTCTTACTTTAGAGACAGAACTTGGTATCTCACCAGAAGTGACCTTGAGTGAGAGGCAGGGGGCAGAGTGTGTAGCCTGGGAGCAGGCTGTGGCATATCACAAGGGAGTATGCTTCTGCGGAAGGACAGGTTCTGTCTTGGATATGCAGTCTGAAGTGTTTGCAGATTTGCTGGGTGTATGACCATGCAGTTGGGTATTTGCTCCTGGAGAAGGGTCATGGTGGGAGATGAGACTGAAGAGTCATTTGTATCGAGGTGATAGTTGTAGTCCAGGAAAGAGGACTAATGAGAAAACCTAGAAGAAAGTTTACATTTGAAGGACAGGGAAAGAACAGGGACAGGCAAAAAAAAAAATCACAAGGGCCAGTGAGACGGGCCAGCAAGAACCAGGAGTGCACCAAGTGATGGAAGGCAAAGGGCATGGAGTGGATTTTTAGGAAGATGGAGTTCTTGGGACTGAGAAGACACATGTGGGTTAAGCAGCTCAGAGAGCATGATTATTTGTATCAGGAATCAGCAAACTTTTCCTGTAAAGGGCTAGATAGTGACTATTTTTGGTTCAAGGCTGTACAGTGTCTCTTAGAGCTACTTAATTCTGCTGTTGTAGTGCAAAAACAACCATAGACAATAATAGATGAATGGTCCTGGCTATGGTCCAATGAAACTTTATTCACAAAAACAGGGCTGGACTGGATTTGACCTGCAGGCCATTGTTTGCCAACCCTGTTCTATATATTGAGTTTCCCTAACTAGAATCAGAATATAGTCTTCCATAAATGGTGATATGATTCATTAAGTTCATTTGAAAATACAGGAAATCCTTGGGCCAAACTGTCATAAAATGCATTTCATTATAACTTTCAGCTATTTAGTAGAGTCACTACACTGGAGTCAGTGGATGGTGATGTATTTATGAATTTACCAAGGAGCTGGCTGATTCTGTTGAATTTTCTAGTCATGCAGGCATATCATGTGTACATAATTGTGCATTTTTCTTCCTTTTCCAACTTGCATCATTTTCTGATAATTCTAAGTTAAAGAGAAGTGGTGGCCCCTGTTTTCTGCAACCTTCCCACGTGTAAAGCTTGTTTGGTGGGGGTTCTGATAGCTTAGATTTCTCCTGTTGATTTCCTGGAAGCCTATTTGAGTTCAAAAGTTCTTCAGCCTTCAATAGCAGAGGATAGTTTGGCAAACAAGGATCCTATTCCTTTCTTTATGAGCCCAATTTAGTGGCCTCTTTTAAAGTTTTCTTCTTTGACTGATTTTTTTTTCTTAGAATAAAATCCAAAGTTCATATCTGGCCTCCATAGCCTGTGTGCTCTGGTTCCTGCCAATCTCTTTAACTGCATCTTTTATTTTCTTCTCCTCACTCACTTTCTCCAGCCGTCGGGGTCCACCCCTGGGGCTGTGACACTGTTGTGTCCCCCTGCTGGGATGTTCTGCCCTGGAGCCTGCCCATGCCTGGCCATCTTTGGGTCTCAGCCCAGAGGCATGCCTGAATCATCACTCTCTCTGAAGGAGTTTTCCTCAGGGACTAGTGCACCATGCACCTGAGAAGTGCTGGGCCTGGTAGTGGTGTGGAAGGAAAAGGTCTTACACAGCTCAGCTTATTTGTGTCATAGTATCCGTCATAATCTGTAATTAGCTTGAGTATAGCTTGTTGTGCTTCCTTACTGTCACTTTCCTTGCTGTGGATTCTAAGAGCTCTGAGGGCAAGGACCTTGCCTTTCTTACTCACAGTCATTGTTTCCAGCACCTAGAAGTGTGCCCAGCAGACAGGAGGTGCTTAATCAGTAGTTTTTGAATGAACAAAAAAATTTTCCTGTCTTAATATTCAACACCAAGAATCTATCCTAACCCTGCTGTGCTGGGTGTTCTCCCTTTGCCCCTCCAGATCCACTCTCTGCCCTTTTCAGTGTGCCTCTGCCCTGGGAAATTGAGTCTGGAACTGTGTCAGCTGGGCTTCCATGCTCTCTGGCTTTTATTTGGGCCTGGACAACAGAAGCACTTAACCAAACAGATGAAGGAGAGTGAGGTCGGGGTGTCTGTCCCTTCGGGTCTCTCCCTGCTGAGTAATCAACCACAGGCAGCTTCTTTCCCTTAAGTGAAAGTTCCAGCCCTTTCAAGCAGCCCTTTCTGTCTCTGAGCTCTGCTCTCTCCCTCTTCCCATCAGGCCTAGAAGTCGGGGAAAGAGGAAAGAGAGGTTAGGGTATTGATTCCTGTCTTGCTGGCTGGACGTTAGCAGTAGCTGTATTTCCCTAAAGGCCATGCATCTGACAGATGGCCTGTTACAGCTCAGGATCTCTGCCCCTCTTGCCTCTCAGGTGTATGGGTAGTAATGGAAGCCAACCTGGGGTATTACCCCTTCTCTATTGATTTTCTTAAACTCTACCTACAACTTTGTAAATAGTCCTTTAATTTAACTTTCAATTACTTCATTTGTTTGTCATTCTTTTCTACTGGGACCCTCAGGTGAATAATTTTTTCACCTGTGAGCTGGGAAAGTTGACTAAGTGCTTTCTGATGGATATACATTTCTAGTGTGATTTCTACTGGTCACTCTTAAAATCGGTGACTGGTTCTGACAGAACGTGCTGCAGTTTGAGTTGGGTAAGATGTACCCTCTTGTCTATTTACAGTTCAGTGTGCTTCCTCTGTAAGCTGATAAAGTTTGGACTATGCACATCTCATGTAACTTTCAAACCATTTTGATGAAATTTTCTCCTAGGATTAAGGATAGGGTTGTTTTTGTGAGTGGGATGTCTAGGCTCCTTAGATTTAGTACATGTGTCAGAATTGCAATAAAGAGGGAGACTTTCATCCCTTAATTCTGTGGGTATTCTATTTTCAGATCATCTTATATTGAGCCAAATGTCTCCCCTTTCCTCCTGATGCCACCTTTTTGGATGAAGAACCACCCAGAATAAACCCATGTAGAAGGAAATAGAAGATTGGAGGATTGGCCTGACATCCAAATCTTGTACAGATTTCAATAGTGAACCCTATACTTGCTTGATCAAGTAGGGTTGGGATGAGCTCTCATAGGATCATAGAGGCTCAGGGTTGCAATGGGTCTTAAAAGTCATCAGTTTCCTCCTCTGTAAAATTGACCATTGTGCCTGTGGGGAAACTTCTCCATCTTCCAAACTCTGCTTAAACAGCAACAAGGACAAGGAACTATAGCCAGGGAGTGAGTAGATTTTTAAAACGATGGTCTGTTTGATCTTCCCTGGATTTAGAACATTGTTTCTGATGAAGAGTTCTATATTTTAAATAGAAAATATGAGTTTTAGTTTAGCTCTGTGACCCCCTGTGCCATCTCTCCCACCACCCAGGTTTGTGATCCTTCTTGGGCCTCAGGTTTCTAAACGGAACCCTTAGCATGTTGTCTGGGATCCACTGTGAATCCCTCCCATTTGCTGAGCACTGCAAGCTTGTCAGAGTGCTATGGGGTGCTTTGGGGGTTACACCGAGCTTGTGGTGGTGTCTCATTTTTCTGACAGGCAGAAGTGTGACCTGCTAGTAATACCAAGAGAATACTTGTTTTGGTCCTTTGTTAACTAGAATAGTGATTCCAGTGTGAGTTGCACATCGGCCCTGTTCACTTTTCTACTGTGCCAAGGCTGATGTCACTGAACGGATTGCAAGAATGCCATGATACGGGCCTTGTTAGCTCTTGCAGGACACACAGGTGGTCATCTCTGTCCATAAACTTTACCTGATGCACTTTACAAATATGATAATTTTTCCCTGTGTACTGTAATGGGGTAAAGATTGGGAAGTATTATTCTCTTGCCCATCCCCTTCCTCCTGCCCTCTTTTTCTGCATATTGTGGATGGAAAGCTGACTAAGTGAAGGTTTTGATGGAAACTCCAGACCTTCTCTCTTTCTGCAGAATGCTGTTGCTTATCACCTCTTTTCTGTTCCCCTGTGGTTTATAGATGATCATGACGCAGTCCTGAGGTTTAATGGGGCGCCCACAGCCAACTTCCAGCAAGATGTGGGCACAAAAACCACCATTCGTCTGATGAACTCTCAGGTAAAATTCCTTTTGTACAGAGATAGAGTAAGGGAAGGACCACAGAATGGGCTAAATAAAACAGAATGTATTTGCATGGAGCACATCAAAGCTGCCAGCTTAATTAAGTCCTTTGACCTTCCTGAGTCCCAGATTCCTCTTTTGAGAAGGAAGACATTTATTCCATGAGCCAGCCTGGTGGTGTGTTCATGAAAAAAACCTCTGCAGCAGTAGTCTGCATTAATGGAGGTGTCCAGTGCTCAGAGAGAGAATGGAGTTCTGCTGTCCTTCAGCCACCAGGTCAGGTCCAGATTGTTGCATAAGGGACAGCAGAGCAGAGAACATCTAGGGAGAGTGAGGAATGTTGTGAAAAGTAAATGAAGCAATGAACGTGGGCATGATTTGTAAGCTGTAAAATATTATACAAGTATTATGAGACATCATCACTATGTGATTATATGTGATACAGTATCAGAATTCAGGTAATACCTCATGAATTCCCCTAGATAATTAGTTTCCTGAACTAATTCCAGGTAACATCTGATTTCTCAGTACTAATGGGAACTTGAGAAAAACTTTGTCACCAAATTCTGTTAATAGATTAAGTTAGTGGGAGAAACTGTACACATAGATCAAAAATAGCATGATAGGGCTGCAAACCCATTCATCTCACCCAAGACCTCCAATGTTTGTCATTTTCTGAGTACAAAAGTAAGCCTTTTTAAAAAAACTTTATTTTTTTAATGTTATTATGTGTTTTTCTATCCGTGTTTAAACTCTGTACACTTTCTGAGGACTTACGGGCGGGCGTGGGGTGAGTCCCGGAAATGACTGTACATGCCCTTTCCGCACAGTCTGCAGTTCCCCTCTCCTCTGCTAGGGCTCCACTTCTGTGTTCCTCTCTGACAGGGATCTCTTCACGGCCTGACCTTCAGGAACTCACCAGCTGGGTACAAGCTGCTTCCTGCATGGCCTTCCTTCCGTTGGAAGCCCATAGTCACAAGAAACTTTTTGGGTTGGGACAGGGGTTGCGAAACTAAATTTCTTTGCAAGTGGCCACCGTCTTGTTTTCTGTTCTTCCTCTAGGACTGTTATGATGTTGAGGAGGAGGGTGTCACCTTCTGTCATTGTAAAATCCTCCAGCAGCCCCTCTGTGCTTCCAATACCAGTTGATTGTTCAACCTTATATTTTGGGTTTATAACATGATTTATATATATACATATATATTATAGCTTATATGTATATGTAAAAGAGGGCAAGTTAAAAGAAATAGATTGGTCAGCGAGAGACTCTCTGGAACAAGTGGCACTGGAGATAGACTTTGAAAGATGGGATTTCAAAGAGAATTTGTAAAAATAGTACTGGGTGGGAGGCATTCCAGAGCTGGGGTTGGCAGGACAGAGAAACACAGGAGATGGGGGGAGGTATTCACGCAGGCCTGGCTGGCACGGGGTGTGGAGTGGATTTGAGTTGCCCTGTAGAGGGAGGTGAGGCTACTCAGACTCTGGCGAGTCTAGAAAATCAGGCAGAGGAGTTGGGATGAGCTTTCCCTTCATTCTCTTTCCCTTCTTATGTGCCAGTCACAGAAATCCTGGAGCGGGAGGGCACCTCAGGGAATGCTAATGCCCATCTGCTGCCTTTGGGTAAGAAGGTGTCAAAATATCAAGGAGAAATGTTTGTTTACCCTCCGCAAATATAAGAGTACTGAGCAGGGTATAGCAGTCAGTACCTAGACTCTGCAGTTAGCCTGCCTAGGGTTGAAACGCAGCTATGCCTCTTAGTAGCTAAATGATCACACCTAAATTACTTATGCTTCAATTTGCTCATCTGTAGAGAGGGGAGACTATTAGTACCTTCCTCACAGGGTTGTCCTGAGGAATAAGTGAGCAAATCCGTGTAGAGTACTCCATACCTGGCCCGTCCATCAGTAAATGTTAGCTACTCTTATATTTAGGTATAAATATAAGATGGGCTTGGAGGCACAGTGGGGAGCAAGCAGACTTGGCCCTGGTCTGGTGCTACCTAAAATCAGTAGCCACACAGGGAAGTATAAAGTTGCAACAGAGAAGCAGGAAAGAGAGAGGCAAGGTGCTACCAGAGCACCTGGGAGGGGAACTTTCCCAGGCCAGGGAAGTCAGGGAAAGAGAGGAGTGATACTCAGCTGTGTAAGAAGGAGGAGGCCGTGAGGAGGGTGTGCTGAGAGCCTTTCAGGGATACGTCAGGCCATGTGCAGAAGGCAGCAGGGAAGCAAAGGGCCCAGTCACACTGTGCTGCTGCGTTTCGGAGCTTCCTTCTCTGTGACTCGGCTGCACTTGTAGTTTGTAAACTTCCTGGCTTCCCTCTGATCAGAGGCACCACAGTGGATGGAGAGATACGGTTAGGAGGCTCTTGCAGTATGCTGGACTGAAAGTGCTGGTAGCTGTGCCAGAGTAGAAGTGAAGATGATAAAGAATGGGTTTGAGAGCCCTTTGGTATGTGCAGTCAGCAGGCTTTAGTGTTGGGCTGGGTGTGAGAGGTGCAGGGAGAGGGCGTGGGTGCAGCGGGGCTGTGGCATGGGCTGGCTAGAAGGCCCTGGGAGTGGAAGTCCTTGACAGTGTTTTGGGGTGTATGAATTACCCTCCGCAAATATAAGAGTACTGAGCAGGGTATAGCAGTCAGTACCTAGACTCTGCAGTTAGCCTGCCTAGGGTTGAAACGCAGCTATGCCTCTTAGTAGCTAAATGATCACACCTAAATTACTTATGCTTCAATTTGCTCATCTGTAGAGAGGGGAGACTATTAGTACCTTCCTCACAGGGTTGTCCTGAGGAATAAGTGAGCAAATCCGTGTAGAGTACTCCATACCTGGCCCGTCCATCAGTAAATGTTAGCTACTCTTATATTTAGGTATAAATATAAGATGGGCTTGGAGGCACAGTGGGGAGCAAGCAGACTTGGCCCTGGTCTGGTGCTACCTAAAATCAGTAGCCACACAGGGAAGTATAAAGTTGCAACAGAGAAGCAGGAAAGAGAGAGGCAAGGTGCTACCAGAGCACCTGGGAGGGGAACTTTCCCAGGCCAGGGAAGTCAGGGAAAGAGAGGAGTGATACTCAGCTGTGTAAGAAGGAGGAGGCCGTGAGGAGGGTGTGCTGAGAGCCTTTCAGGGATACGTCAGGCCATGTGCAGAAGGCAGCAGGGAAGCAAAGGGCCCAGTCACACTGTGCTGCTGCGTTTCGGAGCTTCCTTCTCTGTGACTCGGCTGCACTTGTAGTTTGTAAACTTCCTGGCTTCCCTCTGATCAGAGGCACCACAGTGGATGGAGAGATACGGTTAGGAGGCTCTTGCAGTATGCTGGACTGAAAGTGCTGGTAGCTGTGCCAGAGTAGAAGTGAAGATGATAAAGAATGGGTTTGAGAGCCCTTTGGTATGTGCAGTCAGCAGGCTTTAGTGTTGGGCTGGGTGTGAGAGGTGCAGGGAGAGGGCGTGGGTGCAGCGGGGCTGTGGCATGGACTGGCTAGAAGGCCCTGGGAGTGGAAGTCCTTGACAGTGTTTTGGGGTGTATGAAGGCAAGGGTCCGTGGAGGGGAGAGATCAAAGTCTGGTTCTGTGTATGGTTGATCTGAGCCGCCTTGTAGGTATCTGTGAAGACATGACACATAGGCAGCTGTACAAATGGGCCTCAAGTCCAGTGGAGGTTCTGGGCTGGAGATGAGAATTTGTGAATTGTGTATATCTGTGTGGGAATGAAATAATGGAATCAGATGATAGCACTAGAGAGAGAGTGTAGAGGAGAGAATTCCTATAGGGGGGCTTGTGTAACAAAATCAGAGAGAAGAGGGAATGGTCAGCACTGTCCGATGCTGCCGAGGCTGAGTTAGATGAAGACTGAAAAACATTATTCTCTCTTTAGCAAAACAGGGGCCTTGGTGACCTTAGCAACGGCTGGTTGGGAGAGTGAGGAAGCCAGAAGCCAGAATGGAGTATATCAGCGGAGAGAGGTGGGGAGGCAAGTGTGGATAGTTCTTCCAGAAGTCTGGCTCTGAAGGGTAGGAGGGAAATAGGGCTATTGCTGTGGAGAGTTGAAGGTTCCATGGACAGTTTTGTTCTTTTCCTTTTCTAGATTGGAGAGAACTGAGTATGCTCCAAAGTCAACGGGTAGGGCAAATTGGGTACTGTATGATTCTGCTTATATGAGGGACCTGGGATAATTCAGAGTCAGCAAGTAGAATGGTGGTTGCCAGTGAGGAGGGAGGAATTGTTGAATGCATATAGAGTCTCAGTTTGGGAAGATGACGAAGTTCTGGAGATGGATAGTGCTGATGGTTGTATGACAGTGGGAATGTACTTTAAGAGCTGTACTCTTAAAAATGGTTAAAATGGTTGGTATATTTTATGCAATGTATAATTTTATCACAATAAAAGAATTTTTTTTAAGTTAATGAGGAGGAGCCAGTTGAGGGAGGGAGAAAGTGAATATACTAAAGAGAGGAGGAAATACAAGTAGGTGACGGGGAGGAGGCACTTAGATCCAAGGCTGGGCCAGGATGGGCTGCAGTAGTGGGAGCAGGAGGGAGGAAGGGTAGAAGGGACGTCACTGGAGGCGGTTGGCGGTGGAAGGATGAAATGGCTCTGTTTTCTCTGGAAAGTAGGATGCAGAGAAAAGGAGGGGAGGAGAGGTATTAGTAGAGGCGGATTGAAATTATCATTGAGGAGAGAGGAGGAGGGGTTAACCCAGAGGAATGGAGGGGGACTTACCGGCCATCTGGCAGCTTGGATGTTGGAGAGCAGGAATTCAGAGAAGTCTGTCTCTGCTGGATCAGCAATAGAGAGGGAGCATGGAGGGGCCCTGAGAATTCTTTTGAATTTGGGAGGCTACCCCTTTCTTGGGCATCTCTTCCAGGTGTTCAGTGAAGAACTCAATCTCAGTCCTACAGATTTGCAACTTTAAAGTCATGGTAAGTTTGCCTGGGAATTAAGTAACAGGCTTTGGTTCAAGTCCTCCCTCAGCATTTCCTTCCTACATGAGTGACTCAGGGAGGAGG